AAAAAAAAAAAGAATTCAAATCTTTTTTTTTTTAACTCTAAAGCCTATGCTTTGTCCCCCAGTATCCCTAACTATTGTTGAATACATAAGCCCATTGCTTCATTTTCAGACAGAAATTTTATTCCTAATTTCGTGAATATCTAAAAACAAACCTATCATTTGGAGCATCAAATAGTGATTAAGAGCATGTAGTCAGACTACACAACCTGGGTTCACAAATCAGCTCCACCACTTACTCTCTTTGTACATTAGGCAAGTTATGTTACTTCTCTGTGTCTCAGCTCCTCATCCATAAAATGGGAGTAATAATAACACCTATCTCTTGTAATTGATACGAGGATTAGATAGGTTAATGTGTATGAAGCACTTAGAACAGTGCCTTGTTGTTTGTTGCCATGGAGTTGGCTCTGCTTCATGGAGACCTTATGGATGATAGAAGGAAACATTGCCCGGTCCTATGCCATCATCATGATCATTGGTATGTCTGAGTCCATTTTTGCGGCTACTATGTCATTCCATCTCATTGAGGGTTTCCCTCCTTTTCGTTAGCACTCTCCTTTACAAACACCATATCTTTTCTAGCAATTGGTCATTCCCAATGACATGTCCCAAGTAAGCAAGTCAGAGTCTCACCATCCTCACCTCTAAGGAACATTCTGATTGTTTTTCTTCTAAGACTGATTATTCTTTTGGCAGTCTGTGGTATATTCAGTATTCTTTGCCAATACCACAGTTTGAATGCATCAGTTCTTCTTCTGTCTTCCTTTTCATTATGTAACTTTCACATGCATATGAAGCCATTAAAAAGACCATGGTGTGGGTCAGGCACATGTTAGTCATCAAAGTGACATCTTTACTTTTAAAAACTTTAAAGAAGTCTTTTGCAGCAGATTTGCCCAATGTATTTGCCCAATGTATTATGTCATTTGATTTCTTGACCGCTGCTTCCATGGATGTTGATTGTTAATCCAAGTAGAATGAAATCAGTGACAACTTGTTTCTGCTCCATTCATCATCATGTTCTGGGTCCAGCTGTGAGAATTTCTGCATCTTTGATGTTCAGGTGTAACCCATACTAAAGGCTGTAGTCTTTGGCCTTCATCAGTAAGTGCTTCAAGTCGTCTTTATTTTTGGCAAGCAAAGTTCAGTCATCTGAATATTATAGGCTGTTAATGAGTCTTTCTCCAGTCCTGACACAACATTCTTCTTCGTTCTGACTTCTTGGATTATTTGTTCAGCATACAGATTAAGTAAGTAAGGTGAAAGGATACAACCCTGCCACACACCCTTTCCAATTTTAAACCACGCCGTATCCCCTTGTTCTGTTCAAACAACTGCCTTTTGATCCATGTTGAGGTTCTGTGTGAGCACAGTTAAGTGTTCTAGGATCTCCATTCTTCATAATGTTAATCCATAATTTGTTATGATCCACACAGTTGAGTGCGTTCACATAGTCAATGAAACACAGGTAAATATCTTTCTGGTATTCCCTGCTTTCAGAAAAATCCATCTGATGTCGGCAATGATATCCCTTGTTCCACATCCTCTTCTGAATCCAGCTTGAACTTCTGGCAGTTCCCTGTCAATGTATGGCTGCATACACTGGATTATCTTCAGCAAAATTTTGCTAGCATGAGATATTAATATTGTTTGACGATTTCTGCATTCCATTTCATCACCTTTCTTTGGAATAGGCATAGATATGGATCTCTTCCAGTCAGTTGACCAGGTAGCTGTCTTCCAAATTTCTTGACATAGATGAGTAAGTGCTTCCAGCATTGTATCTGTTTGTTGAAGCATCGCAGTTGGTATTCAGCCAGTTCCTGGAGACTTGTTTTTCATCAGTGCCTTCAGTGCAGCTTGGACTTCTTCCTTCAGTAACAGCAGTTCTTGATTATATGCTGCTTCCTGAAATGGTTAAATGTCAACCAGTTCTTTTTGGTACAGTGACTCTGTGTATTCCTTTCACCTTCTTTTGATGCTTCCTGCATTGTTCAATTTTTTTTGCCCCTAGAATCCTTCAGTATTGCAACTTGAGGCTTGACTTTTCCGTTCTTTCAACTTGAGAAATGTTGAGCATGTTCTTCCCTTTTAGTTTTCTAACTCCAGGTCTTTGCACATTTCATTATAACATTTTACCTTGTCTTCTCAAGCCACCTTTGAAATCTTCTGTTCATCTCTTTTACTTCATTATTTCTTCAGTTTGCTTTAGTTACTCTGTGCTCAAGAGCAACTGTCAGAGTCTCTTCTGACATCCGTTTTGGTCTTTTCCTTATTTTCTGTCTTTTGAATGACTTTCTTCATGTATGATGTCCTTGATTTCTTCCCACAATTCTTCTGGTCTTTGGTCATTAGTGTTCGGTGCATCAGATCTATTTTTGAGATGGTCTCTAAATACAGGGGAATGAATTCAGGATCATACTTTGGCTCTCATGTACTTGCTTTAATTTTCTTCAGCTGCAACTTGATCTTGCACATGAACAACTGATAGTCTGTTCCACAGTCAGCCCCTGGCTTTATCTTAACTGATAATACTGAGCTTCTCCATCATCTTTTTCCACAGATGTAGTCAATTTGATTTCCTGTATAATCTATCCAGCAAGATCCATGTTGTCATGGATTGAATTGTGTCCCCCCAAAGTATGTGTCAACTTGGTTAGGCCATGATTCCCAGTATTGTGTGCCTCTCCTCCATTTTATGATTGTAATCTTCCTATGTGTTGTAAATACTAATTTCTGCCTGTGGTTAATTAGGCAAGATTAGATTATGTTAAAGAGGATTAGGGTGGGATTGTAATACCCTTACTAAGGTCGCATCCCTGATCCAATGTAAAGGGAGTTTCCCTGGGGTGTAGCCTGTACCACCTTTTATCTTACAAGAGATAAAAGGAAAGGGAAGCAAGCAGAGAGTGGGGGACCTCATACCACCAAGAAAGCAGCACTGGGAACGGAGCGCATCCTTTGGACCTGGGGTTCCTGCGCAGAGAGGCTCCTAGTCAGGGGAAGATTGATGAGGAGGACCTTCCTTTAGAGCCGATAGAGAGAGAAAGCCTTCCCCTGGAGCTGACACCCTGAATTTGGATGCCCTGAATCTAGCCTAGACTATGAGAAAATAAATTTCTCTTTGTTAAAGCCATCCACTTGTGGTATTTCTGTTACAGCAGTACTAGATGACCAAGACACACGTGTATAGTCATTGTTTGTGTTGAAAAAAAAATATTTCTGATGAATAAGTCATTGGTCTTGCAGAATTCTGTCATGCGATCTCCAACATTGTTCCTATCAACAATGCCGTATTTTCCAACTATTGATCCTTCTTTTTTGTTTCCAACTTTTGCATTCCAGTCACCAGTAATTATTAATGCACGTTTGATCAATTTCAGATCTCAGCTGTTTGTAAAAATCTTCCATTTCTTCATCTTTGGCATTCATGGTTAGTGCATAAATTTGAATAATCATTGTATTAACTGGTCTTCTTTGTAGGCATATGTACTTCACTGACAGAGCTGTACTTAAGACAGAACTTGAGATGTTCTTTTTAATGATGAACACTGTTTCTCTTTACTTTGTCATTCCCCACATAGTAGACCATGTGGTTGTGGATTCAGAATGGCCAATATCAGTCCCTTTCAGCTTGCTAATGCCTAAAGATATCAATCTTCAAGTGTTACATTTCATGTTTGATGACTTCCAATTTTCCTTGATTTGTACTTTGTACATACCATATTCCGATGACTAATGAGTGTTTGCAGCTGATAACTTCTCATTCTGAGTCATGCCACATCAGCAGGTAAAAGTCCTGAAGGCTTTACTCTATCCAATCATTAAGGCAGCTCTTCCCCCCTCATACTTTGAGTGCCTTCCAATCTGGGGACTCATCTTCCAGCACTATATCAGGCAATATTCTGTTGCACCCAGAGGGCTTTCATTGGTTAATTTTAGGAAGTAGATCACCAGGCCTTTCTTCCTAGTCTGCCTTAGTATAGAAGTTCTGCTGAAACCCATCCACCATGGGTGACCCTGCTAGTATTTGAAGTACTAGTAGCACAGCTTCCAGCATCGTAACAACACGCAAGCCACCACAGTACGACAAATTGACAGAAGGGTGGTGGAGAACAGTGCCTAACACACAATAAATGCATATTAAATGTTAAATAATAAATTTAAAATTCATTTATAACCATTCTTTCCTTCTAACCTCTCTTTTGCAATAGTATGTGTTGAGCCAGCTTTTAGATTTTTTTTTCTTTTTGCAGAGTGAATATACTAGAACAGTCATTGACTATTGATCAGCCAGCATTGGATCTAGAAAAGGCAGTATGATTAACAATATCTTAGCTATTTGCTCTTAATCCTCTAATGTAATCCAGGCAGGGCAAAAGGTAAGAGCCTTGGCCTAATGCTCACAAGCCATCATGAACTCACCAAGGCTGTCATTGGTTAATTTAGTTAAAAATGATAGTAATAACAATGATCTGACATGCAGAACACTGAAGTGTTGATTTTGGATCGTCAGTGGTTGTCAAGGATAAATTACAGTTCAGTTTTAAATATGAAACAGCTTCTGTTGTAACTGGTCTTTTGTTGGTGTATTTCCCCTACAGAAACCAGTGACGGTGTGTCTCTGCAACTGGGGAACACGAAAGATTTTATTATTTCATTTGATCTCAAGTTCTTGACAAATGGGAGTGTGTCCGTGGTTCTAGAGACCACAGAAAAGAATCAGCTCTTCACTGTACATTATGTCTCTAATACCCAGCTAATTGCTTTTAAAGAAAGAGACATATACTATGGCATTGGACCCAGAACTTCGTGGAGCACAGTTACCAGGGACTTGGTTACTGACCTCAGGAAAGGAGTGGGTCTTTCCAACACGAAAGCTGTCAAGCCAACCAAAATAATGCCCAAGAAGGTGGTTAGGTTGATTGCAAAAGGGAGAGGATTTCTCGACAACATTACCATCTCTACCACAGCTCACATGGCCGCATTCTTTGCTGCCAGTGATTGGCTGGTAAGGAACCAGGATGAGAAAGGTGGCTGGCCAATTATGGTGACCCGGAAGTTAGGGGAAGGGTTCAGGTCTTTAGAGCCAGGGTGGTACTCTGCAATGGCCCAAGGGCAAGCCATTTCTACGTTAGTCAGGGCCTACCTGTTAACAAAAGACCAGGTATTCCTCAGTTCAGCTTTAAGGGCAACAGCCCCTTACAAGTATCTGTCAGAGCAGCATGGAGTCAAAGCTGTGTTTATGAATAAACATGACTGGTATGAAGAATATCCAACCACACCTAGCTCTTTTGTTTTAAATGGCTTTATGTATTCTTTAATTGGGCTGTATGACTTAAAGGAAACTGCAGGGGAAAAACTCGGGAAGGAAGCGAGGGCCTTGTATGAGCGTGGGATGGAATCCCTGAAAGCCATGCTGCCCTTGTATGACACTGGCTCAGGAACCATCTATGACCTCCGTCACTTCATGCTTGGCATCGCTCCCAACCTGGCCCGCTGGGACTATCATACCACCCACATCAATCAGCTGCAGCTACTCAGTACCATTGATGAGTCCCCAGTCTTCAAAGAATTTGTCAAGAGATGGAAAAGCTACCTGAAAGGCAACAGAGCAAAGCACAACTAGAGCTCACAACCAAAGTCACTTCTCAGCCTCTGCTGTACCCAGAAGCTCTGGAGCTTTCTCTCAGCAAAGCATCGTTGCATTTTAAAAGGTTGTATACTGCGTTTTTGTGGATTACATCAAAGTGATCCTTAAATCCAGTCTTCTGAGATATTTGCATTCCACGGGCTAGGGGTTTAGAAGTGTAGGTGGCATTTAGAGCACAAAAGTGTTCAGGGCTGAACAAAGGTGTTTTCCTTTACCTTGTTTCTTACTCTCTCTGATTCCACAGCTAGTCCAGTTCCTCTCAGCTGTGGAAAGGTAATGGTGAGTAGCTATACTGGCCAACTGTCTAGCCCATACCTAAGAACTTAGTATGGAGCTCTTTGAAAATGTGACTATTTATGTTGAAAGCAGACTTTAAAAAAGTAATGTGCTGTGATACAGTAAATATGTACTTGTAGCCTGGATAGTGGACTGTGCAACTTTTTAAAAAGATGTTTCTTTTCTATAGATTAATTTCTTGGGGGCAAATGAACATTTGTTGCATTTGTTCAATTTGTTATATATGGAGAGTATTTTGAATTTATGGTTTTCTTGAAATGTGTAAGTTAAAAACACAACCAGTGTTCAGGCTTCACAGTTATGTAATGTAAGCACAACTAAAACAAAATGTGTTGACTGCACAAGAAATTACAAAAATGTTGTCTGTTTTATGAAACTCGATCTACAATCAGTAAAGGTTTGATAATCAGTCTGTCCTTCCCCCACCGCCATTGTGCGGTTTGCTTTTGTCCTCATGTAGAATTTTGTATTTCATTTCAGACGGCACTTGAGAGTTTTGTCCGTTGTGCACAACATTACTTGGGAGATCTTATTACAAGTCTAAATGTGGGAAGCGGCTCATAATTGTGGTAACTCCACCACCGCCGCCCTTTCAGGACGGATTTTTTCCCCTTTAAAGAAGAATACTTGATCAGATACTACATACAAAAATCACAGCAGGGTTTTTCCCAACTTTGATCATTCTTGGTCATCAGCTTTCCAAACCATTGACCCTGTGTGTTGTTTGTCCTTTGCAGTTGTAATTTTCAGTTATTCCAACTACTAGACAGAAAAGATGCTACTGCAGTTGCTGTACGTGTGTAATCAGACCTTTGTTTAGGTTGTATATCCTCCTATACCTCACGTAAATAGGGTTCATAGCCCTCATACCATGGGCAGTGTCTGCTGGAGGGCCTCAGCATTGGGTTAAAGCTGAGGGGGGTTGATTTTGCTCTGGCTTTTGTTTTAGTGCATGACAGTGCACTAAACCCAAACTATAACTTCTACAGATAAATTTCTACACGAGACCCCACACTTTCAGGGCACCGAGTCTGACAAACACAGTGTGGTTATCTGTGACCTATAAGCACACCGGGAGCCAGGTGGGTGGCTTGCCTGCACACTGTTCAGCCTACTAAGACTATATGGAATCAGAAAGGGGAAAAAACAAGAAGGGACAGGAGTATAAATCTACACTGAAGACAGTATTAACCTGGCCATAGAAAAGTAAGCTCAAACTCCCAACTTATGTGACCACGACTTTTATTTTGTCCACAACAAAATAGTTGTGGGTTATTAGATTCTTCCTCGCGTTTGCCGTTTGTAGTTCTTATACATTAGATGCCTCAGCAAGAGTATCAAGACTCCCTTATTTTTATAAAATTTCAGGGCCAACATTCAAAGGTAAACCTTCGCCAATCTGAGAACGCTTTTTCTTCGTTGTAATTGTTCTGTTGTTGTTTTCAGTGGTCCCGACTTCTGCTTTGCGCTTGCATACTGGTACTTCAGATTAGGGGAATCAGTGCGAAGAGTATGGTACTGCTTCGGTGACAAATACCAGTGCCTTAACAATGTGGCTGTCCTTGTCCACTGAAGACGGAAAGACGTTGATCTGGAAATGGCTTTGCTGTTTCACGCTTGTTGGTTTCACACTGCCTGCCACATTGCCACATGATTATTCTCATGATCCTGGAATTTTCTAAGAGGGTGAGTTGAACCTGTAGCAGCATTGTCAATACAAACCAAGTGGTTCTCAAACTTCAGGATGCCTCGGAATCCCCTGGGGAGCTTACTGAAACGCAGATCCCAGGGCCTCAGTCCGTCTGGCTGTGAGTCCTGATGATCTGCCTTTTCCAGGTGCAGTCAGGTGTTTCTGCTGCAGGTGGTCTGGGGGGAGAGGGGGCTGCAAACCTGGAGGAACACTGCCCTAGACAGCCTGTTGCAGTTTTGCTCCTAAACACCTACAGTTCTCTTAGGTTTTAAATCATAAAACATGTGCTTATTCTGAGTTTAGAGAGAATGGGGAAGGTATTTTAAATCTTTATGGTTTTGTTTTTTCACGTTTTTCTTTGTTTCAAGATTGTAAGTTTTAGGATTTGTTTTGTTTTTTTCCACCCACCTTGAGTTAGCTTTGATGTTAGATTAAATCTCTTGCCACTTCAGTTGTAAAACCAGCCAGAAGTTTCTAGGTGAAGGTTAGTTTGACCCTTGAGGAGTTATTATACATAAAGGCTTCATCCAAGAACCACGCAGTGCACGTGAGCACACACAATGTGACAGCCAAGCACAACTCTCCAGGTGTGGCCGTCCTTTTTCTTGGTCAGTGTGAAAATTGACACTGCAAGCTGCTATTTTTATCTCCTTGTAATTGTTTCTCTTGTTTCTCCTCCATGGTACATGTGGGTTTTATACCATGTGTTAAATATGCAATAAAGTGTTTACTGGATGCCCTTCCGAAGGGTAGTCCTTTGTAAAGCTGTACAGACTTTGCAGTTTAAGCACAATGTGCACATGTTAGTTTTATATACAGCAAAACGTGATTTTTTGCAGATGGAAAGGTATTTTGTTTCTATACAAAGTAAATGGACTGTTTGTGCTTAATGTAAAGCTGCTTTATAAAATTGTTAAATAAAGTTTTTATCTTGAAAGGAGTATCCCTGGACATTTTCTTCTCTCTTTATTCTAAGATTGTTTGAGCCCACAAGCAGATTTCTTACCATCATTTCCTATTCAGCCTGGGACAACTAGTGAGGCAACAAATGTTAATTAAAGACCTTCCAGGCCCTCTAAGATAAAGTGGGCCTTGACCCTAAGGAGCTCTTATCTACAGAGGGGAACATGATGTTCACAAAACAATGTCACAAAAATAAAAATGCTAAAGTGTGTGCTCGGTTCTATATTTGCCTCTTTTCCAGAACAATAAACATTACTTAATCTTTCTTCCCCTAAGAAGCTTCACAGAGAGTAATGACTTAGGCTCCCGAATACATGTAAAGCCAACGAGCAGTCTGACATTAGGTTTTTATTGTACATTAATTTGTGGATTATAAACTTTCTGCAACATTTGTATAGTGGGATTCCAGCTGATCACCAGTCAAGTTCTTGCAACTGATGAGTGCACAGATTTTGACAGGCACTAATCAACATTCTTGGCAGCTATTCCTTCCCCCATTGTCTTCATTTAGGAAGCAGCTATAAGGTTGCAAGCAGTCCTGGTCAGGATGAGGTCTTGCTTTGATTTTGCTATTTGTAGCCAAACCATTAATACATTGGTCATTCTGCTTTAGCACACCAAACATCACATATTCACGTCCCCACTGCCTTTGAGAGGAATCAGACCCCTTACTACTCGGAAAGGACTGACTCAGCCGTCTGATGAGCTCCTCCTTCCCGAGTACGCCCCCTTCATATCCACAGGGCTCTGACAATACACATCAATACTATGACTTCTACAGATTGGAAGCATGAGACCTCATAGTTTCAGGGCCCTGTCTATGGGCTATTGGACACTGCCTGCTCTGGCCACGCGTGATTAGACCGGGCCTGCATCATTGAAGCTGGGCCAATCAGTTTCTTCCCCCAGGAATCCAAAATTGAGATGGATTAAAAAAAAAAAAAAAAAAAAAGCAAATACACAGTAAAAAGCAGATATGGGAGACAGAATTTTGACAGTGTTCCAGGCCCTGGAGCCAATGCATTTCTGAGCCCAGTTGCATTCCTTTCGGGTTCCCTGAGATACCACTGTATTCTTAGGACAGATTCCCTATTTGTGTTTAAGTGGGCTGGACTTGGTATCTGTTACTTGGAAGCAGTGAGCTGTAATTAATAACACAATGTCTCCGTTACAGAGAAAAATACAGTGTAAATTTTACATTTTCCTCCAACCTGGACCACTCTTCATCCTAAGTGCACAGAAACTGAACTAGCTAGAGTTGCATTTAATTTGATGACAATCAGCTAAAGTTAAAGCTTAGAGATAGATCTTTAGGGAACATTAGTTGGGCAGAAATGTAGACGTAGAAGTCAGGAAACAGGGCTCCCTGGCACTGCCGTTGAAACATCAGACTTACTTCTTTACCTCATAATACAGTCCAATTAATAATCAGAGAACTAAGTGATCTTAAAGTTTTTTTAATAAACTAATAAAAGGTAACCACTAAACATAAATGGTGGTGTTAAAAAATAAAGACATCCAATACCTCACACCATATATGAAAATAAACTCAAAATGTATCAATGACCTAACCATAAGAACTAAAACCGTAAAACTCTTAGAGGAAAACACAGGGGTAATACTTTGGGACCTAGTTTTTGACAGTGGGTTCTTAGATATGACACCAATAACACAGGCAAGAAAAGACAAAATAGATCAAATGGACTACATGAAAATTAGGAACTTTTGTGCATCAAAGGACTTTACCAAGAAAGTGAAGTGGCAACCTACAGAATGAGAAAATATTTGCTAACCATATATCTGATAAGGGTTTAATACCTGGAATATGTAAAGAACTTGTACAACTCAACAACAAAAAGACAACCCAATTAAAATATGGGCAAAGGACTTAGACATTTCTCAAAGCTTTGCAAATGGCCAATAAGCACATGAAACGATGCTCAATGTCATTAGTCATTAGGAAAATGAAAATAAAAACCGCAATGAGATACCACTTAACATCTACTAGGATGGCTATTAGAAAAAACAAAAATAACATGGGTTGGGGAAGCTGTGAAGAAATTGGAACCCTCATCCATTGCTGATGGAAATTTAAAATGTTGCAGCTGCTATGGAAAAACTGTTTGGTGGGTCCTCATAAAATTAAACAGTTACTATGTTGTGTCATTATACCAAAAAGAATTGGTCGGCGTTCAACCATTTCAAGAGGTAGCATATGATCAGGAATCAATGGTACTGAAGGAAGAAGTCCAAGCTGCACTGAAGGCACTGGCGAAAAACAAGGCTCCAGGAATTGACAAAATATCAATTGAGATGTTTCAACAAATGGATGCAGCGCTGGAAGTGCTCATTCATTTATGCCAAGAAATTTGGAAGACAGCTACATGGCCAACCGACTGGAAGAGTCCATATTTATGCCTATTCCCAAGAAAGGTGATCCAACTGAATGCAGAAATTATCAAACAAAATCATTAATGTCACACACAAATAAAATTTTGCTGAAGATCATTCAAAAGCAGCTGTAGCAGTATATCAACGGGAACTGCCAGAAATTCAGGCCGGATTCAGAAGAGGACATGGAACCAGGGATATCACTGCTGATGTCGGATGGATCCTGGTATCAGCAGAGAACACTAGAAAGATGCTTACCTGTGTTTTATTGACTATGCAAAGGCATTTGACTGTGTGGATCATAACAAATTATGGATAACATTGAGAAGAATGGGAATTCCAGAACACTTAATTGTGCTCATGAGGCAGTTCCAACAGAACAAGAAAATATTGTGTGGTTTAAAGTCAGGAAAGGTGTGCGTCAGGGTTGTATCCTTTCACCTTACCTATTCCTTCTGTATGCTGAGCAAATAATCCAAGAAGCTGGACTATATGAAGAACAGGGCATCAGGATTGGAGGAAAACTCATTAACAACTTGCATTACGCAGACGACACAGCCTTGCTTGCTGAAAGTGAAGAGGACTTGAAGCACTTACTGATGAAGATCAAGGACCACAGTCTTCGGTATGGATTACACCTCAACATTAAGAAAACAAAAATCCTCACAACTACGAATAAGCAACACCATGATAAACAGAGAAAAGACTGAAGTTGTCATGGATTTCATTTTACTTGGATCCACAATCAACACCATGGAAGCAGCAGTCAAGGAATCAAAAGACGCATTGCATTGGGCAAATCTGCTGCAAAAGACCCCTTTAAATAAAGTGTTGAAAAACAAAGATGTCACCTTGAAGACTAAGGTGCATCTGACCCAAGCCATGGTATTTTTCAGTCGCAACATATGCATGTGAACGCTGGACCATGAATAAGGAAGACCGAAGAAGAATTGACGCCTTTGAATTGTGATGTTGGCGAAGAATGTTGAATATACCATGGACTGCCAAAAGAACGAACAAATCTGTTTTGGAGGAAGTACAACCAGAATGCTCCTCAGAAGGATGGTGAGACTACGTCTTACATACTTTGGACATGTTGTCAAGGGGGATCAGTCCCTGGAGAAGGACATCATGCTTGGTAAAGTAGAGAGCAAAAAAGAAGAAGACCCTCAACGAGATGGATTGACACAGTGGCTGCAACAATGGGCTCAAGCATAACAACGGTTGTGGGCATGGCAAAGGACCAGGCAGTGTTTCATTCTGTTGTGCATGGGGTCGCTATCAGTGGGAACCAACTCGATGGCACACCTAACAACAACAACAACATGTTATGTTGTTGTTGGGGCCTTTTAGTCAATTCCAACTCACAGCAACCCATTGTGACAGAGGAAAACTGCCCTATAGTGTTTCCTAGGCTATAATTACGGAAGCAGATTGGTACGCCTTTCTCCCACGGATCGGCTGGTGACTTTGAACCTTTTGGTTAGTAGCGCACTTAACCATATGATTCGGCAATTCTACTCCTAGGCATATACCCAAAAGGCTTGAAAGCAGGGACTTGTATTGTGAATAATGTTCATTGCAGCATTATTTACAATAGCCAAAAGGTGGAAACAACCCAAGTGTCCATCAACAGATGAGTAGATAAAATGTGGTGCATACATACAATGGAATATCATTCAGCCATAAAGAGAAATGCTACGATATAGATGAGACTTGAAAACATGCTGAGTGAAATAAGTCAGACACAAAAGGACAAATACTGTATGATTCCACTCATGAAAGAGGATTTCCTACAACAGGAAATGCATAGAGACAAAAGTTTATCTGTGGTTTTGACAGGCCCATAAGACAAAATGAGACTAAAGGGGCACCCCAGCCCAAGGGCAGGGACTAGAAGGCAGGAGGGGACAGGAAAGCTGGTAATAGGGAACCCAAAGTTGAGAAGGGAGAGTGTTGACATGTCATGAGGTTTTAACCAATGTCATAAAACAATATGTGTACTGTTTAATGAGAAGCTAGTTTGTTCTGTAAACCATCTAAAGTACAATAAAAAAGTTGATCAGTGGTGTCATGGATAGAATTGTGTCCCCAAAAAATGTGTGTCAACTTGGTTAGGCCATGATTCCCAGTATTGTGTGATTGTCCACCATTTTGTCATTTGATGAGATTTCCCTGTGTTGTAAATCATATCACTATGATGGATTAGTGGCAGTTACATTGATGAGATCTACAAGATTAGATAGTGTCTTAAGCCAATCTCTTTTAAGATATAAAAGAGAGAAGCAAGCAGAGAGACGGGGAGACTTCATACCACCAAGAAGGAAGCACCGGGAGCAGAGCACATCCTTTGGACCCAAGGTTCCTGCACGGAGAACCTCCTAGTTCAGGGGAAGATTGATGAGAAAGGCCTTCCTCCAGAGCCAACAGAGAAAGCCTTCCCCTGGAGCTGACACCCTGAATTTGGACTTCTAGCCTACTAGGCTGTGAGAAAATAAATTTCTGTTTGTTAAAGCCATCCACTTGTGGTATTTCTGTTATAGCAGCACTAGATAACTAAGACAAGTGGTCACTAGGGGATGGGGAAAGCGGGTGACGGGGAGTTACTGCTTAAGGGGTACTGGGTTTCTGTTTGGGGTGATAAATTTTTTTTTGGAAATGGATAGTGGCA